CACACACACACACACACACACACAAAGCTGCAAAAACCCAAAGCACACAAACTACAAGCGTAACATATCAGCGGTTAGTGGTTAGCGAGGGGTTAACCCATCCCTCGTGTGGCAACAAGATTATTCCATTAGATCATTAGAAAGACTCTGATCTGCTGACAGCGTTGAAAATCATCTCTCTCTCCCTCCATCTCTCGGAGAGACTCTGTCCTTCCTGCTCTTATCCCCAATGAAGCTGGCACACCCTGACCATTCCAATTACTGCCTGCCTCTCTCAGTCTGGGCCAAAAAACAGTGGGAGAAGCAGCTTTTCCTCTCATCTCCTCTGTACAAACAGCCTCAAAGTCACCGCAACAGCATCCTGCTATGTACGTTTTATTAAAACGCACGCTGCTTTGCATTAGATTCTCAGTAAAATCCCAAGCCTCAGTGCTGTACATCTGTGTAATGGAACTACAGATTAAACTGATGCTGATAGAAGGCTGAGGGGGATGGTGCTGCGCAGTAAATCTGGGAGGCCAAACAGAACTAAACAGCCATTAAACAGCACAACTCTGATGCATTACACAGCCTTGAATTGACTAATGCTTTTGGCAAATTAAAGGCACCGTTCACCCCAGGATTGCCTCCTACATTTTACATCTTTCAAAAAATAAAATTAAATAAAAATTAAAAAATGCACAAACATTTTCTTGTGAGTTGTTTCACAATTATATTACTTTTACTATCTACACCTATCCTCCCACCCTCCAAAAAACTAAAAAGCTAACACTGCAGATCACCTGATGGGGATGTAATTAATGTATCAATGATCATCTTGTCATGCTGTTACAAGCACCATCATCTGTAGAGTGATATGATTGGATGGTGTGGTTCAGCAGCTTCAGGCCAAATATAAAGAATTAAAGTTGAGTTTGCGGTGAGCTGGCTCTTTGAGACTGTGAGGATATTACAGCTGCAGGTTTATGCTGTTTAAGTTCGACTTATCTTTGTGGTGGGAACCAAGGCCAGGCTGCTAACTCAACATGACAATGTGAATGTATTACACTCGTATCTATAAATATCTTCAATTTTGTGAGCCTTTACTTTACAGGAGGAGACTTTAGTGCTGCAATTGTGTACAGAAGACAATATTGTTGCTACACATACTCATGTTTCCTCAGTTCGTCTCCATTTAAATTGTTGTACAAGGAACTGTACTGTGAATTTGATGTAAAGCTAATAATATGTTGGCATTTACCCATCTGTGTATCTATGGGGCGCCGTTTGTAAAGTGAAACATGCTGAAATTAACGGCAACATTTTTCCACATTTAGTGCGAAACCTTACAAAAACGTGTTTTCAAGTCATTTAAAAAAAAAAAAATTTAGTAAATTTGTAACTTTTCATATTTAAAACACAATCTTAAATATTAAATCTAAAAATTATATTTAAATCTAAATGTTAAATCTAAATGTTACAGGAAACTAAATATTTAGTCAACATTTCGTAAAGCTTTTATTTTGGTATTTCCGTTGATCCGTACATCTTAGCTAAATATTTAGTTTCGTGTAACATTTAGATTTAACATTTAACATTTAGATTTAAATATAATATTTAGATTCAACATTTAGATTTAGCACTTACATTTTCGATTTAAATTTAACATTTAGATTGAACATTTAAAATTGTGTTTTAAATATGAAAAGTTACAAATATTTTACTAAATGTTGTAAAAAATGACTCGAAAAAACATGTTTTTGTAAGGTTTTGAGCTAAATGTGGAAAAATCTTGCTGTTAAATTCAACATGTTTCACTTTACAAACGGCGCCCATGTATCAATCTTGTTTCTCTCACTTTTTCACCACATCTTTCTTTTCTCTTTATTCTTTAAGAGTAACTTTAATCAGCAGGCTATAATTACATGAGCTGAACAACAGAACATATCAGCAGCTTCTGAAATCTGTGCTTTTTTTAACGTCTTAGCCAATAACACACAGAATTATTGCATTTCCACGCTTTGAAGGCAGCTGTCATGAATTTTTTCCTTTTTTTTGTAATTTCCCAATGCAAATGATGACTTCAGACCTAAAGGAACAAACTTGGTCTTGATTTCTAAACCTGTAAATATTGAAGTGGGGTTTTATGGTCTACCTCAGTACCTAACAGTCCAACTCATGAATGCTGTTTTGACAGTTTGGACCTGTAGGCTTCTTCTAGTTATACTCTGTTTGTATATAAATGAGCTGCACTCTCTAATGAAAAATTCTATGTGCGGTTACTTTAATCAATACTGATGTGAGACTATAAATATCAATTGCGAGATGTTTGAATGCAGCACAATTTGTCTCCCACGAAACATTCTTCTCTTATAAACTTTCAACCTATCTGCCTACATTTCCTCAGATGATGTGGTGCGTGCCTTTATCTTTAAATGCATCAGTGCAATCTAACACACATATCAGAATCAGAATCAGAATCAGAATACTTTATTGATCCCTGGGGGAAATAATTTTTTGTTACAGTGCTCCATTTTAAACCAACATTAAGACAAGACAGACAATACACTAACTAAGAATAGTACAATATATACATATATATACATACATACAT